TTGACTCTGATTGGTCGTGCGCCCGGTTTTATACCATGCTTGACTCTGATTGGTCGTGCGCCCGGTTTTATACCATGCTTGACTCTGATTGGTCGATGATGATCTGTATGCTGGGAGGGGTTGGTAATGGTCGGAGGGCACGGCAGAACATAACCATGGAAAGCAAGCGAGCAAGCTCAGAGGGCAGAAACGCGAGAATGCTGAAGGTGGTGGTGTGCAGCAACAACTTGGAGCATCCTTGTCTGCCCGGCGGCTTTATATCATGCTGGACTCTGATTAGTGAATGGAGATGGAGCGCAGAAGATGAAGCAAGAGTCGTAGCACCCCTCTGCTCAGACGACAACAAGAACAAGGGAAATTGCGTGCTGTAGTGATTGTGCTAAGTAGCACTCGTGGTTTACGGCTCTTCACATGGAGTGCGAATGTCCACAGTGTACTGTTGACAGCAGGGAAAAAGACCCCAGGATCGTGCGAAGGATGATATGGCGACGATGATGGTGCCGGTACTGAATTTGTTGCAGCAATGTGCAGAGGAGTGAAAGCTATCGGTAGTATGTGTGCTTCAATTCGCCGAGTACAGTGGGGTAGTTTACTTCAATCCGCCGAGTATGGTGGGGTAGTTTTAGAGGAAGGAGGTATCGTTGAGGAAGTGACTGTGGAAGAGGGGCAAGGATGAAGATGAAGCTTAGGCAATTTGACAGATGTAGGAGAGAGATGGGTGGTGTGCCAGCTGCAGACTATGTGCTCGAGCCTAGATTCCAAGCCCTTGTATGCTTCACATCTTAACAGAGACGATAGTGCACATACCATGATTATGCCGCCGTATGTTCTTAGTACATTTCACACAAGGTTGGGGGCTCAAACTCCAGCAAAAGACAGGAATGGACTTCTACAGTGGGAAGATGGCATTGGAATTTGAAATTGATTGAATTGAATTAAACCACCAGTAAGTACTTCCTAAAGTTGTGCCCGTAAACAAGCCACAATTTTAGGAAATGTACGGGCCACTATAGGAGCGCCCACATTCATCTGACTAGAAAGGTTTCTAGTCTATTTTTTTCCCACGGCTGATAGCCGGGCCGAAGTACTGGTGGTTTAAGGGATGCCATTGAATTGCTCAGGATCAGTAGAGAGCCTGGAGGATATGCCAATGGATGGCTGCAATGTGGAGAGGGTCGACGGCTGTCCGGCCAGGGGCACGATCGTGTCAACATTGAAGCAAGCATGTATCAGCTCTTAATCAAATCAGATGTGATTGCCGTGGAACGTCTTGCCCACTCTTGTGATCGGCAACGAGGATTACCCGCCCTTACGATCGACGATGAGGAGTATAAAGTGTTGGGACCCCACCATCGTGAGGTGCAGGTCCTCTTCACTGTCTTCAGGCCTACCTATGAAGTTGGCGTCTGCTGGTGGCTGCATTTGTGATGGTTTCATTTGCAGTCGAAGTCTCGCTGGTCACTGTTCTGCAAGGTAAGCTATGATGTGTCATGTACTGTTAGCCCATTTAGGCGAGGAATATGGGCAAAACACTGGGTCACCCGTTAGGTGCGTAGTTGAGGGGGGGGAGGGGGGGAGGGGTGCGCGAGCATTAGATGTGCGGTGGAGTGGGTTGTTGTTATGCCATTCTTTGTTAGGTCTTGAAAAAGTGCATGGTCATGTTGTTTGCAGGGGGAAAGACTTGGTAGTCTCTTTTTGAAGTCTATCATGAGGCTGGTAATCATAGGTAGAGCCGCGAAGTTCGCAATGGTAGGTAGAGCTCTCGAGATCGCTTCGTTTGGAAAAAAAAGAAGCATTTGTTGTGGGGCAGAGGTGCAGGAGCGATCGATTGATGTGGAATGTAAACGACGTTGTTTGCTATTCCCTTTGAGCGACTGCGTGCCTGCCTGCCTGCCTTCGAGTTCTCACGATTTCGTTCGTCGTAGTCTGTTTCCAGCCAACATTCTTTTGAGCTACTGACCTCTGGTCTGAAAAAATGATAGCTTTTTTCTCTTAAAATAATCACCTGGATGATGTATATCGTCACCACTAGTGGTTGTTAATACTACTTTTTCACCAGAATTCATGAAATAAGAGTCAACTGACTTTGGTCACTCGAAGAAAATGACAAGTGGTGGGAGGAGTGGAAAGGACTGTGGGCGAGTGTTCGTAGGCGGCCGCCCGTGCAATGTGTGCATGCATGTGCAGAACATGCTGTCCTATGTCCAGTTGAAATCTGTGCCGTGCTCGTCTCAGAACTTTGAGATGTGTTGGTGTAGCTGGCGGCTGCTGCCCGGTATCGGTGCAGCCTAGTGATCGTGCACAGCAGAATGAGAGTGCTTTTGTGGGATGGATGAAAGAGATGCAGAGGAGGGAAGCTGGAGGATACACGTAGGTGAGTCCGTAGGAAGGTGTAGGTAAAAGATAACGGCCCTTCGATTGTGGGATAGCACTTGCTGTGGCTGTCTGCTGGGGCTTATCTGGTTTGGAGTGCTTCTGTGCGGTAGATGAGTGTGGAAGAGGGTGCAGGTAGGTAGGCCTGGAAGCTCCCGGTTAATTGAGGTATAGCACTGTACAAGTCTGGAGATGCAAGCCAGGAGGAGTAGTTGGTGAAGGAGATTGAGCGGGACACCGTTGAACAAGCGAAGGAAATGCCGAGAACAGAGAGCGAATGAGGGAAAAGGCAGTGCAGTATCGGCAGAGGGATCTCTGAAAGGAGTTGAAGATCCTATACGTCACTTGTTGTGTGCAGTACCGCCCTGGGGGGCAAAAAAACGGAGATAGCCGACACCATGGGTGTAAGACACAATGTGAGCCTTATTGCATGGTGGCTCTTCTCCGGGTTGCAGGGTTGAAGAGAGAGAGAGAGAGAGAGAGAGAGAGAGAGAGAGAGAGAGAGAGAGAGAGAGAGAGAGAGAGAGAGAGAGAGAGAGAGAGAGAGA